GTGCCCGGGAAGCAGGGCGGGGATGGCGGTGCCCGGGAAACAGGGCTGGGATGGCCGTGCCCGGGAGCAGGGCGGGGATGGCGGTGCCCGGGAGCAGGGCGGGGATGGCGGTGCCCGGGAGCAGGGCGGGGATGGCGGTGCCCGGGAGCAGGGCAGGGATGGCCGTGCCCGGGAAACAGGGCTGGGATGGCTGGCTGCAGCGGCGCCCGCTCCGTAGGGGATGCAGCGGAGCGATCGTCGCGGTGACAGGATGGTTTGCGGGAAAGATGAAGCAGGGAAGCAGGACAACAGGGACAGAAAGCCCGGGGGCGTGGGGGCGGAGCGGATCCTGCAGCAAGGCGCCGCTCCCGCCGAGCAACTCAAGCAAAGCGTCCCCCGCGGCATCGCAGTTTCTGCTTTTCTCTGCTAAGGTACTCCCACAGCCCGACTTGGCGGGCATCCGGGCTGTTCACTCGCAATCTAGTCCTGGAGGCTGTGTCTGCCCTGAGGGGCTGCCACGAGAACTCTTCCCGGGGACAGCTGTAAGAATATAATTTATGCTGAGGCATAAGTGACAATCAGATTGGTCGCTCTCACACTGGAACAGGCTCCCCAAGGAACGGTCACAGCACCAAGGCTGATGGATTTCAAGACAATGTGCCCAGGCACATGGTGGAATCCTTGGGCTGCCCTGTGCAGGGCCAGGAGTTGGAGTTGATGGTCCTTGTGGGTTTCTTCCAGCTCAGGATATTGAGTGATTCTATGATGCCTAGTGCTCTGGATAAGCTCCACCAGCTTAGCCAGGTGCAGTTTGAGCTCTCATTCACGAGAGGCATAACACAGAATATCAGGTAGAAGAGCAGAAACTGTCATCTCATGAGGTTAAAAAAAAAAAAAAAAAAAAAAAATCCTAGAGTTGTAACACAAATTCTGGGGCTTCAGCAGCCTGGGAGTGCCTAGATGACACTGCAGTCTGTCACTCTTTGTATTGAGATGTATGTTTTTAGAGGCCAGAGAGCTTTTGAGAGATTAATACAGCTGCAGACAATTTCACATACAGAGGTTTGGGACTTCCCTTCACGTATTCAGTAAAACACAGCAAATGGAAACCTAAAACATTTACCAGCAGAGATTCATAGATCTCGAAGGAGAATTGATCATAGCCCTCTACAAGCATGACCTTCTGTTAACACAGGCCATAGGATTTCACCTGCTGTGGCAGAGAGAATTATTCTTTCTTTCTTTCTCCCTAACTGAACACTATCGAGCCCAATAACTTGCTGGTGGTTGAACTATAGCTTATCATTAATAAGATATCCAGTCTTGGTGTAGACCTTCCACTGTGAATTTACCACCACCTTTGCCAAGCTTACAAAGTGCTTAAACACCTTGACTGAATTAATTCTTTTCCATTTGAATTTATTTGAACTAACCTTCTTGCTATCCAATTTTATTATGCCTTAGAGCACTAGACTGAATACTCCTCAGTATGATTTCCCTGGTTAAGACTGTTAAACAAACTATTACACACCAGACACCAAGGACCAAAGTGGGCAGTTTCAGTGTAAAAATCTGCTGTATCAACAGTCTGAGGTAGTTCAAAGGTGAAGGTAGTTCAATTTATCCTCCATGGCAAGATAAATTGAGCTGGGACTGCCACACAGAGATACCCTGTCCCACTTGCACCACCCCTGGTGTTCCTGAGCTCACAGAGTAAATCAGTTCAGTGAGTTCAGCCATAAGAAATCCAGTACTATAAAAGTGATGGATAAGGATTTTGTTGGCTTGCTGCCTGAACTCTGTAGGCATGGGCCTTACCAGTGCTGGGACAGGGAAAGGCAGCTCTGATAGACGGGGTTAGGCTGTGAAGAATTTGCAGTTTTGGGGAACCATGGTAGGTTTGCGCCATCTGTGCAGAATGGTCATAAAAACATAAAGTAGCCAGTAGGTCAAAGCTGATATCAGGATCTGAAAATACAATCATGAACTTGACATAAAAAAAAACCAACCCAACTCAAACCTCCTTGTTTCAACAGTGATTCCTGAATTGATCTTCAGTGCTGGTCAGGGAATTCAGCACCATGTGTGGACTTCTGGTAACAGAAGAATATGAAAGGAGTGGCAATTTATAAATAGAATTTGAAAACCAAGATGGATTATCAATCCCAAAATGTATCTCTCAGGCACTATATCCTGAATAACCACCACAAAGAACTGCTCTTTCTGAAGTGAACAAATGCAAGACAGATTAATGAACTGACCTGAATAAAGACAATCCATTTTTCATATTCTTTTAAAATATTATCTTTTTTTCCCTTTCTAAATAAGCAACTGGAATGTTAAATCAGTTAAGTGCAACAATTTGATAAAAACTATGCAAATCTTTAAATATATAAAGGCACCATCTATAACATTGACAGTCCAGATAAAGGGTTTAGTTTTAGTGGAAAATCAAAGTTCCCAGTGTGGAATGTAAATGCAAACATTTGTTTTATTTATTTTTTTGTATTTTGTTCTCTGACAGTTACAAATTGCATAGGTAATTTATTGTAGTTTTCTCTTGTCACAAACACAGTCCTCCCTTCATGAAAAGGCTTGCTAATATCATAGGAGGCTGGATACAAATGCAGAACTTGAGGGACAGTGGGAAGAATAAACACAGAGGAATGACACAGATTAAAATAAAACAAATAGCAGGCAGCAGTTCAAATTAGAAAATGCTGGGGTATTAAAAAGAAATTTATCATGTGTGCCACAAAAATGCATGCACTACACAGCATTCCTCTGCTTCCTTTCTAACTTGGGGGTCACTGTCCACCTTTTTTTCTCTTTGAAAGGGAACTAGCTATTAATGATGTACCAAGCTCAAACCCTTGCCTATCAAGAAATAAAACAGCAAAAAAGGATGGAGGTAAAGACACTCCTTCAATTTCCTTCTCTAAAGAAAACTTCCCCTTCCCTTTCCCCTTCCTTTTCCCCCCTTCACCTTCCCCTCCCATCTGCTGTACCAGCACAACAGAGTCTACAGTGATGTTGAACAAGGCAAAAACATAAAAATGATGCAGTAAATAAGCTTTTGCTGTTTGTTTTAATGCAAATAATTCCACAGACCTGGTTTAAACTGCAGCTGTATCAACAGGGCTGAAGGGATGGCAGGAAACTTCATGTGCTGCAGAAAAAAGTAGGACATAACTACTCCCAGGGGAGCCATTCAGACAAATGGTTTGCTGTACCCATTCTGCCTGGGGAGAACAAATTCTAGGATGGATTCAGCTCAATGACATTTCATGGTAGTTAGGACCTTGCTTAGTGCCAAAGTGTTGTGTGGTGGGGTTTTATTTCCCTGAGTTAATGTACATAAATGGTCTTTTAATACTAGAGTGTCTAATCTAATCTTGACCTTGCAGAATTTGAATGAGGATAAAAAGAAATTATACAGACAATGTGGAAATCTGAAGAGTCACCTAAAGGCCCAAGACAAGGTGCTATGAAAATTACTGTGAATTAGATAAATGCTCAATCAATTTATTACTGGAAACACTTATGTGCCTCCCCAAACAACAAAGTAAAGGCAGGCTAGAAATCCTACCCTCTGAAGTCC